TACCTACAGTTTTGAGGTTTTTGCGCTATCAGTATGATGTAGAATGTATTTCTCTCGATAGTGAATATCTATATATTGATATGAAGACATGTAAACAATTTTATGAGTGAGACAGCACATGTCTCTTCGATTTTTAACGTTTTCGTATCTCTGTACGTGGCAGTAGTAAAAAAAATGAATGAACGAGAACTAGAAAGGATACTGTGGAAAGTAGAAAACTGAACTGCACAAATGAATATGATTACTTTAAACAAATGCTCTTAGAGGGCAAAAATCCTATAGCTACGTTTTTAAAAATTGAAAGGATTACACCACTTATTTCCAGTCAATCGCTTCCAATTATTCCTTTGAAGATTACTTTTGTCTTGTAAACTCTAGCCATAAAGATCTTAACATTTATCAGAGTTCAGTTTACCGCAAAATGATTTCATTGACTGATACTTCTTCATGTTTCAATCACTTAGGTAAATCAAAGTTTAAAAGTCGAACAACCGATTGTCTATTAGTACCTAACTGTATATTGAGTGGACTGGTGATCACCCGATCACTCATACTCACTACAGTTGATCTGTAGAAGGATATTTCTCATTTACCAACTATTTTTAAAATAACTATAAAGGAATTGCAAGATTAAGACTATTTATAGATTACTGTCAATACTACATTCAAGAAATAAACCTAGAACTCAAAGGTGTGCATTACTTTAAAACTATCTAGTCCTAATACAAATGAACCATAGTTTAACCACAAAAATCAGCTTCAATCTAAACTAATTTCACTTAGCTTTTCAATTCAATATCAGTCTTGTCCTTACTAGTATCAGTCTCTTAAAATGATTTTCAGCAATTCCAGTTAAAATTCTTATCTAACGCTGATTTACTTAGTCGAAAGTAACGCAACTACCCTGAAAACCATATCGACTAAAATTTAAAATGTGGTTTAAAGCTAACACACTTGATGTACAAGCTGTGAGTAGATCTTTGATTTAGTGAAATATATCGATGACTGGGAAATCTTACAGTAACATAACACATATTATGTGCGGCTATTTTTTCGGTTGATTTCTAAACACTGATAACAAAAAAACTAACTTTAAGCTACAATGAACTAACTAATGAACAATATCTCCTCATAATTTTGCTTCTAATAACAATAATATTATTATTACTGATCAATGACTTGGACAAAGGTGTTTGTTTTTGTGAACTAACAAAAAAAAAAACATTAAAATACCAAGAAATCTAGTGATTAACTAACTGTTTATTGATTATAGATTGGATATGAACTTTTCATGATAAAACATTAGCGATTACATTTTGACTGTTATTAGAAATATATTCAATTTATTGTGTCAAGTTTAAGTGTTGTTTATTTTTACTATTAGTAATGTGTATAACTGACTATTTTTATATAACACTACGAACTTAGTGCTAAACTATAAGGAACAATAGATGAAGTATTGAAACGTCATCAGTTGAGGTGGTTAAGACATGTGCTATGTATGCCTAGCTATGAACTGCCTCGACCAGCGATGTTTTGCGGTGTAAGAGTAGGTTAGAAGAAAGCTAGGGTAGGCTAGACCAAAACATGACACAAATCCATGAAGATACTGGCAAGTGAACTGAGCCATGTTGGTAGATGTAGGCTACCTGGTTGGGGATGATAATAATCGATGGTTAGAGACCCTGAATGACATGGCTAAAAACCGTTCGCAGTGGCGCAGGTGCATTCATTCTTTGTGTTCTCTCAAGTCCTAACTTTCTAAATTCCTCATGACCTTCTATCTTTCCCTTTTTAAATTTATTTCACTGAATTATACTTCTTGAATAATGTCCTCAAACCCTTATCTTTATGATCACAGATAATTCTTCTACTACCTCTACTACTATAGGATTTTAAGTGATAATTGCGTCTCTGTGCTAATGTGATATGCCAACCTGAACTAATATACGCACGTACGAAGTTATACGTTGTAACTGACTGACTGAAACTCTAAAGGAAACTAAGTGTTCAATTAATCCAATCTTGTTGTTACATGTTACATAACCGCTTACAACATGGAGTGATTGTACTTGTGATAGTAATGATGCAGGTCCATTAGTCAGAATTTATCCAATTACCAAATAAAAATCAGATGTTACCCTATTTTCATATATATTGTAAAAGCCAGATAGATATATGTCAATCATATGGACCTTCATCCTTATTGTGACCTTGATCTGATGATAAAAGGTATACTTTTTAAACATTCATAAGATTGTATAGATATATTATGTATGTAAATAATTGAACAATAGTTATTCTAGTACAATAAGAAATGGATATTGAATAAATAATGTTATCTGAAAGCATAAGTTTCATTAGCCCAATAACGAATAATCCATTGCCTCCCAGCAACGTTCAAAACATCCATCCCACTAAAAGACACAGTGTGATCAGTTTAAAACTTGTCACAGTGGCATCAAAGATACATGTATCAAATTAATACCAATCAAAGTTACTTGAATTAGAATTCAGACAATATACTGACCTAAAAAGGTTTTCAGCTGGTGGCGATCCTGTTACGGCATTTTGTTTCCATTTTATATCAAACAATGATTGCAGAATATATATTCTCGACTTCACTGTTAGTGACCGCCTGACTATGCTTACGTTGTTTGTGACCTGATGACTAAATCAAAGCAATCCACGCACGATGTACAGATGCTCAAAAAGACTGATCTACTGCAGTTGTAAACATCAACGGTAAGAATCCAACAATCAATAGAATTGAGATAAGTGGTGCGTTTTAAAATAGACTTCATTAAACCATATCGACTGATAAAATCAGTTACAATTTGGATGTAATGTGCATATTTCATGTTGCCGAAACCTCAGTCAGGCTCGAATACTGATATTTATGATTGATGAACGTTTCCACAGATTCATAAAACCACTGAGATCGGAGCCGCGAATCAGTGACCATTGAATTGATGGTCTGAAGTTATGAGACTCCTGAGTTTTATATATGGATAAGTTATAGATTTCAACCTCTGAGAAGTTCTTTAAACAAGTTTAATCATCTGTCAGATAATCTTACTTAGTTTTCAATGGTTTTCTAGACTAAGACAGTTCTTGATGAAGATTTGCTTTTGAAATTATTCAATAATTATCAGTCCATGAAGTAAGTACATCTTAAATATCAAAAAATTTCTAGCTAACTAACTAACTTACTAACTGAAAGATAAACTTTTTTTACTTTAGTATTTATACTAATTAAGCTGCCAGTATATAAATGGAAAATGTATCTATTACTCAAGAGATTGAATTCTAAAGTGAAATTATTTTATTTTATCAAAAATTAACCTAATAACTATTGTATTCAATTCATGTTACTTCCTAAACTCATTGTATCAGTTAGATAAAAGAATGAACCACAATACATTTCGCCTACTGACTCATTAATTTCATAATTTAAAAAAATGCTTTAAGGGAAAATAACATTTTGATAAATATTTGGCTATTTCAGAATATTAACGTTTCTTTTGAAATGTAAGTTTTTTGAAAAAAAAGTGCTCAGTGTTCCTTGTAACAAATCATATTCTTTGATAATGGTACTTCGGATAAGGAAGTACTTGGAAATAATGTGTAGAGCGTATTGATCGATAAATTAAAGAAAAACCAGACAGCAAGAGGTTGTGGATAGATTGAAAATTCTCGGAGGTGGCTAAATCTATGAGATTATTTTTGTAAAGTGAATTTCAAATTTTTCACATAGTCATGTCAATTAGTGAATTTTAAATTTAAGGAGAACTGAAAGCATTAAATTTAAGATAAGGTGTGCGTTATGTTATGAGTCATAACTGGCAATAAGAGCTGAAAAGTATTTATAAAGTTGTTATATAAAATGCTTGTTAAACAAGATTCCTTGATTAGCGTGAACTCTTGAGGGTTCGATAGTTTGAACTACTACCATAATTTATAAAGTCTATAAATGTACATTTTTGAAATGAAACTGCTCACATTAAACAAAAGAATTGAATAACATAATTATCATGTTGAATTTTGTACAACCAATGACATGAATCATTGTAGCCATTGTTTTATTCTGGCATCGAGACAATTTTCAAGTAAAAGGGGATCTTTCAAAAAAAAACTGAACCAGAACTTGCTGATTTTACTGATAATGTTTCAAATATTATTGGATTTGACGATTAATAAACTAATGTCATTCTTAAATAGCCTTTTAAGCTTAGTTCAAATGAATGAAATATAGGGTTTTGTGTATTGGATAACTTAGGCAAGTATGTCTATTATGATTGTAATTTTTAGTATAGAAATAAAATTAACTGATAAACTGTTAAAAACTGTGTAACGCAGGATGGGTAATTGTCTGTAGTTATCGATTTATCCTTAATCAACCTTTGAAAGATTGAACACTGAATTTGTAAATCAGTGATGATGTTGAATGAGAGTCAAACTCTTGACCAAAAACAAATATGGTAAGGCGTTCGCCTACAATGCCGAAGGTCCCGGGTTCGAATCCTGCGAGGAGCAGGAGTCGTGGATGCGCACTGCCACTGATGAGTCCCATACCAGGACGAAACGGCCGTCATTCAGTGCTTCCAGGTTTATAATGGTGATCTCACAATGATTGATTGATGATTTCAAATGTGTAAAAACGCAAACCTCCAAAACTCTGCCCCAAAATATGTAAACTGTTCGATTTCAACTTATATTAATCATGTTCAGCGAAGAACTTGATAATCCGAGTTTCAAATGAACACAAAGTATTTACGAGTTGCAAATTATCATCAAACAACCAACTATTCGATAATATTTCATTCATTTAAAAACAGCCGTTAAAAAAATAATCAATACTAAATTATTTTTTACACAACCAACCAACTAAACAGACTTCAAAAAATGCAAATCATCATCATCATCATCATGAATCATCGCATACTTATAAATTAAAAAAAAATTATGCATTGCATACATTCACTGATTGTTAAACTTACTCTTCTGGTTTAGGATAAGAATGCAATTCTTTCGATTGAATTTCATCTTCATTTTGTGGTTCCGCTGAAATACCAATACCACGTTTTCTTGTTTGTAATGTAGGGTCATGTGGATCTGGCTTAGCGCTGCCACCAAATCCAAATAATTCATCATTAAGACCAGGTTGTCGTTCTTTTGACTGCTGCAGTTGCTGTTGTTGTTGTTGTTGTTGGAGCTGACCTTTAACAATAGTTACAGGTGTTGACAATGATGGCGATTGACTAAATACACTTTGATATTTATCTAATAAACTTGTCAATTCTGAGATTCGTTTGATTTTCTCTTGTAAATCTTCTTGTAGTTGACTAATGATTGCTTCTTGTTTTTGTATTTCATTTTGACATTTTGCATGCATTTTAAAACAATCACAACACTTGAAAATCTATGAAGAAATGTAAATATGATATGTGGTGTATTTGTATGTGCAAGCGAGCAAGCGCGCGCGCCACCGTTTGTTTGTTTCAATCAATTGTTGTCAATAAGTCAATGTTGTTGTTTTATTTCGTTTAATTTTTTTTTCAAAAATGATAAACACATGAATGAATGAAATGATTTATGTCGGGACGAAGTGAATTTTCATGCAACCGAATAACAAGAATCGATAGAAGCATAGATAGATAGAAAATAGAAAAATAAAATAAATTTCAGTAAATTAAATTATTATTTTTTTTTTTAAAAATCCAAATGACCATTATATATAGACGATAAATTGTAATGTAACTTACATTAAAATGAGTAATTTTCTCTGTGATAAATTTAAGAGACAGTATGGTGGTGATCTAATAATAATGACGAGATATGTATGAATAATAAGTGATAATTAATATTATCTCATTAATATATATCTATCTATCTATATATATATATTTATATACACACTATTGTTAATTGTATAACGAACAAGTTATCACTGTACGTTTAGATGTATTGTGTGCCATTGGTTAAACATTAGTTAGTTACTCTTGTGTACATACATGTACGTACATATATACATTGTACTAGTTGTGTATATGTTGCAATGAATACAATTTTCATGAAAGATAATTAGAGTATGCCTGTAATATTTGTATCATAATGAAATAATTAGTAATTTCGATGTATATATTTTCTTCATTATGCACGACATTGTGTACACACACATAATCATCATTAATATGCTGTGAATTGAGTGTTTATCTTTGTCTTTGTCCGTTTTTCAAATGATGAAGTTAGATGAGTGAAGCGGTGAATATGATTTAAACAAAATAAATGATCATGAATATTATTATTGTTAGTACTAGTATTAATAATAATTATAAATATATAGAGAGATTAATTTCACGTACGTATGAGCACATTTCTTATTTGTCTAAAATTAGAAAATTTATTGTAAACAAATTAAAAAATAAAAATGAAAAGAGTTGTTTTTCATGAAAATGTTGTAGCGTTATTTTTTTTTCAATTTTCAATGTTTCACAATTTTAAAAAACTAATCATAATGAAAATAAATTAAGTGATAATTCGAATTGATCAGTTTACTAGAAGAGGCTGTGAAGGAAGCTTTCAGCGATATATGCATATATATATATATATATAGATGTATCCCATTGACCGGTATGTTCAACTTCAGGTTTTTCACTGTTGCACAAACATTGATATGTTGTACACAAATGAAATTACGGCATAAATCTTGTCATATTTATGTACATATTTATATATATTTATATATGTAGGTACATGTGTTCTTTATCATCGATTCGTTTTTCTGTTTTTTTCATAGAAATTGTGTGTGTGTGTGTGTGAGTGAGTGTATGACTGGCACATTTCCATGATTAGTGTACATACATTATAAATAAGAGTGTGAATAGGACGGAAGACAGGTTTTTGTTAAGGGAAATATCTATTATATGTGACAGACATAACCAATGAGAATCAAGTTTATTTTTGATTATTTTTTCTCTGATTACACATAAATGAAATTTATGTGATGAATAAAATAAATTTATTACTTATGTTGAATAATTCAAGTGTTTTTGAAATAGAGAATGAATGAATGAATATGAAGATATTTGCTCACTAGAACTTTGAGAATTTCTTCACGAAGTGAGTCACTAGTGAGTACATTTTCGAATCCTGAAAGATGCAGGAGTCGTGGATGCACACTGCTGATGGGTGGTCCCATACCAGGATGAGAAGGACATCTTTCAGTGCTTCCAGGTTTCTGAATGGCGGACAAACAATGTGTAAAAACACTAATTTCCCTAACTCTAATTGAAAATATCGTAAAATGTGCTCACTAGTGACTAGCTTCGTGAGGAAGTTCTCGGAGTTCTAGTTAGAAGACGTGACCATTGTGTAGTTCAACCCTGTCGGGTGTAGGCAGTAACTATCAAAGACAAATGAGTGAGGTCACGTAAAATCCCTAGACCAATCAGAGTTAGACATTAACACCGTTGGATGCCGCCAGCCCAGTGGTCCAGTGTTTAGGCGTTCGTGCACAATACCGAAGGTCTCGGGTTCGAATCCTGGGAGTTGCAAGAGTCGTGGATGCGAACTGCTGATGATTCAGTCCCATACCAGGATGAAACGGCCGCCTTTCAGTGCTTCCAGGTTTCTGAATGGTGGTCTAACAATGATTGATTGATGATTTCAAATGTGTAAAAAAACACCAATCTCTATAACTCTTATTGAAAACAAGATAATTGTTGGCAAAAAAGGAAACAATGGTTTTAAATTGTATTCGATTGTCCTTCACTAGCCAACGATTGCATGAAATTACAACAAAATTAAATAGCTATCACTATGAATTTGATATACTTTAGCTATTGAATTGGAGGTGAAATTTTGCAATAAGAGAGAAATAAAATCTAAGAAATGAATTAAACATTGCAGTAGAAAGTGTGATGCGTATGAATTTGTGCGAAACCTTACAAAACACGGAAAACCAGATTGAAACAAAAGTCCTTATACATATTTATGATTACCTAATTAGCCGAACATCAATGGAGTAGTAAAGTACGAAATTATGCAACAGATGTAATTTACCCAGGAAAGTTATTGCAACGAAAATAAAGTAGATTTTATATCTCACTATGTATTCATAGGACTGTTTAAAAATGAGAGCTTTTTAAGATTTATTCACTAAATAACAGATCGTCTCACTTAAAGAGAGATTTTTTCTTACGAGAAGTAGATTCCGAGATCTATGTTTACGAGATGATGAAGTAACTCTTCATTTTAGTCTACCTAACCTGCCTTCGATCCACTGAAGATGATCCCAAAATTAAAGTAGGTTTAGTTAATACTAGTTTTGTGATTGCTTCATAACTGATTGCTGAACAAAGTCAGCACTGTAGAACTGGTTACTTTATACCATATTTTCATACTTTAAATGCATAGAGCATAGTACTGACCATCACGATAATTATAAAATTATCGTCATTGTTTTACTGTAAATAACAATGGAAAACTTGAATGTTGATCTTATATATATTCTAAGCAATATATTGAATTTTGACAAGATAAATGTAACAAGAAAACTATCAGTATCTACTTAAATAATAAATCTTTCATTAGCCTTTTAGTTAGCACACTTTTTACTTTAAGTCATGATACTTTGTACTTTCAAATTAATTGACTGATAATATATATGCGACTCAAAGTCTGTAATTGGATTCTTATCTTCCCTTTATGTCTATGACAGAAAGTTGAGTGAATAAATCTAACAATTTCTATGACATTTCAAGCATTGTATTTTAAAAATTAAGCACATTAAAAATACCGTTGAATAGTCTACGTTTAGGAATACTCATAGAAACTTGATGATAAATAAAAATTTTAAGTTAACAGCTTTGAAGAGATAAACATAAACATTGATTAGAGTTCAATAAAAATTATACAGTAAATAGTTACATTAAAAGTCTGTAAATATAATCAGCTTTTTTCATTTGTGATAAGTTTGCTGGATGAACGAAAGATCTGAATTCCTGTACGCTACTAAATGTCTTAGACTAAACCCATGGTGCTGCTTGAACACAAGAGAAATGGCGTGAAGAACACTTCACTTCAAGGTTAGTTAGTGTACAGAAAAATGAGGCTACTTATAGAGTTACTTAAGACCTTGTGCTTCTGAAAGGTTCAAGAGTTGCAACAAATATAGTAGCAATATGGTTAAATATCCAGTGAGAATCGTGGCGCACGATTAAGCGTTTTCCAGAGGTTTCTGAGAAGGTTCCAATCAAGGCTGATTGGATGAAACGCATCCTAGCATTTCTAGGAGTCTACGGACTGTTCTGAGGGATATTTCGGGGCTTCTCAATAATTTATAATGATATTTTGACTGATGTCAATTAGAGAAAGATGTAAATTATTGTTTTAATATGATAAGAAAAACGTAGCAAATTCATTTAGCCATTTATAGCAAAGCTCATAAGAATTTTCCATATGCAAACATTAATTACTGCATATCATCAGTCAAACATTTCGGTTCGTTTTTTTTCAATATAGGCTTGTGGAGACTGTTGATTTATTTTGAAATCATGAATCGATCAATGTTAGACCATCATTAGAAACCTGGAAGGACTTCACAGCGGTTTTGTCCTGATTTGAGACGCATCAGCAGTGCGCACCAACGATTCCTGGGATTAGAACCTAGGACCTTTGGTCTCGTGAGCAAACGCTTAAACTCTAGACCACTGAGCTGGCGTACAACGGGGTTATGTCTACAATCGATCAATCCTCGGTCTTCCACAACCTCACCCCTCATCTTCGATGAGCTACTACTTTACATCCGAACACAGTTGATCTCCACTGGTCACGACTTCTTACTAGAACTTGGAGAAACTTCCTCACGGAGCTAGTCACTGGTGAGCACATGATAATTTGTAGAGATTGTTTCAGTTACTTTGAAACCATGAATCGAAAGGAAGAATCATTGAAAATCAAACAACTCTCTACATATATTTCGTAGTAGATTATTATATCTCTCAGCAATGAATTATATTAAATAGTATTTAAGATTTTCTGTTACTGTAGCTAAACGAATGATTACATGATTTAATTTAATGAATGACCAACTAGTAATTCGGTTAGCTAAAGTAACAGAAAATCTTAAAGACATTTTAAGTTGATTCATTGTTGAGAGATATAATAATCAACTAAGCAATTTATGTAGAGAGTTGTTTGATTTTCAATGATTATCCCATACATACCAGTTATTGACTCTGTACATATTAAATAACTGTGAAAATTATTCATTCTTAAATATTATACACCAAATCTTATTGGATTATTTTTTTACTGTAAGTTCACACATTTTACATGACTAAGTCTTTGTAAACAATCATTATTTAGAAATACATTTACTGTACACCTATAACTACACAATAACATCATAGCCCATTTTATTTCATGTTTAATTCGACTGAATGAATGAATATTCAAATATCGAACACTTGTAAAAATCGATTATTGTTAAACTCTCATTAGAATCCTCGAAACATAGGAGGGCCGTTTCGTCCTGGTATAAGATGACTCATCAACTGTGTGCATCCATTTAACATTAACCAATTCATAATTTCAAAGTAACTGAAACAATCTCCGCAAGCCTATGATGAAAAATTATCATGTGCTCACTAATGACTAGTTCTGTGAGAAAGTTTCTTCGAGTTGAAGTGAAACGTTGTGACCGATGGAGTTCAGCCCCATTCGAATGTCAAGCAGTACTCATCGAAATACAGTGGATGATGTTGCGTGAAAACTGTAGATTGATCAAAGTTAGAGATTAACACCGTTGGA